TGGAAGTGATGAAGAGAACCCTAACATGTTGATGCCAGTCACAAAACAGGATGCAAGGAAATGCATTGAAACATTGCACCGCCATTTCATGCAGGAAGGAAATGAAGGTAGTCCTATTACTGCGTTACATGTTTGTGGTGATTTTGTGCGAATGCAGTCTGTTAAAAGAATGCGTCAAACCACACTGGATACGGTCTTCAAACGCTGAATGGAATTCGGTAATCCCTTTGTATACAACTGTACTTCGCATGCTGAATATCTTGTAGGTCGTTACGAAGAATTTGTTTGTAAATTTCTTTTTCAGTGAACAAAGTTCGTTATCAAAGCAGTTCATTTTTGTGTGTTTGCTATAAATATATGCCGCCAATACAGGTCATAATAGTAGTTTTCTACGTTATGTATAGCACATCCCATCTTGTTACATCGGGTAACTTCGGTTAATTGGACCAGCCGCTTAATAGGACCAAAATGGTCTGGTCCCGATGTGGTCCGATTAACCGGAATCGACTATATATATATATATATATATATATATATATATATATATATATATATATATATATATATATTGCAAATGACGATTCACCCATACGATGTTTAGTGAATGACCGTTGCAAACCCTCCAGTGATGGTAGATCTGTCTGCGCATGTGATTACACGTTTGGCAACACAACGAAAATGGGCATACGCAAATCAAATAGAGACAAAGCTTGGCTTTGTGTAAGGTTGTTTATCAGTCCCAAAGCGCACCTTACCTTAGATAACTGTTATTGAGCATGTGTTTAGAAGCTTACTACCTTTACATGGCTTATTCCAAATTCACGAACGAATTTTGTGGTATGAATTGGATCCACATTTAGAGCCACGCTGCCTGATTGGATGCTGCATTTGTGACGGAATATTCGGACTTGTGCATGGAAAATTTAAGTAACCCTTCATTTGACTAGAACTTAAGAGAATACGGGTCCGTTTTAATGGTTCTCATAATTTATCTACTAAACAGATGAAATATCCATGGTGAAAACCAGGTCTAGGATGTTTTCTAACGTTTACTCAAATCTTTGTTACGGACATTGTATTACTTCTGCATGTCCATCAGTTGTTTTAGGCATATGCAACATGGTTTATATTTGGTAGACTGATATCTTGCAACATTAACGTTTTTACTAGGGTGATTTGATATAAGCATCCTTAATGATGCACATTAAACTTTGCGAATTATGGAGGGTGGCGTCAGCTCTTTGCAGTCTAGTCTATGGGCAAACTTGAACTTAACTATTAACCCTATGCTTTTCTGCTCCCCGGCACTTACCCTGATCGTAAGCGAAGAAACGGTGTATTTATTCAAGCAAAACAATCAATCATTCACTAATTGTAGTCGCATCTAACCTCTTGCCAGTAAAGGCGCGCACATTGATTAGTTTACATGGACTGCACCTAGGGAGACACGAAGTGCTGTGCGAGTAGCTCTTCAACGACTCCTTTCTTCAGCCCTGTAATGACAAGCCTTACAGCCGTTGACTGAGCGCTTCTCACGAGTGCGACATGCGGCGGCACGTTGTCTAGATTTATAGTATTTGAAGCATAGCAACTTGACAGCCTTCCACCTGTGGGCCATATTGAGCACTCCCAAGTCGAAGTTGCTTGAGGCGACATTGTTTCGCTCGTAGCTGAATACCATTATCTGTAAGTGTAGGTGTTCAGAAAAGCGAAGTCGAAAGAATATCGGGTCTCAAGATCATGGGTAGTCTGCCGTATGGGCATACTTTTGCTGTTAAGTTTGTTTGACCCATCGGGGATCGAGTAACCACATGATCTATTGCTTGATTTGTCGGTCCATTCTTCAAGAGAATGAAGATCTTGAATTAAAAGTTGTTTGCTCTTAATCACATCACGCTGTGGTTTATAAAAAATGATTTCATCAGCAAATAGAAACAGTTTGCCATTTTCGTTGGACATGCCAACATCATTGATCTAGGGGAGAAAAACCAAAGGGCCGAGTACAGTTCTTTTGATGATGCCGCTGGTAATTGGACGACGCGAAGAGTGGTGGTCACACGAAGTGACCATTTGAAATCTACTGCTAAGGTAGGAGGCTAACCAACCTAAAAATGGGTTCCGGATTTCAGAGGATTCAGTCTTTTTCAACACTCGTTTGTGTGGTACATCGTCGAATGCTTTTTCAAGGCCCAACAATATTATTGTTATTGCCTAACCGGATTCTATGGATTCTAAAATTACAGTGTAGGTAGTGTAGCTGGCGGATTGTGCAAGAACTTCTATCCAATAAACCATGTTGAGATGTGCTAAACAGGTTCGGGGAATTAATGAATTCCATCAACCTCTTCTTGGCCAATCTTTCAAACAGAATTTCCTTGGTGGGAGTATGATGCTCCTTCGGTAATTGGCAACTTTTTGGTTGGGGTCGCTTTTATGTCGTGGGATGATAATGAGATCTTCCGTTGATCAGGAAAATAGCCAGTTTATGTCGATAAAGTGGACATATTTAACAAAGGTAGCAAGTAAGATAAATCTGGCCTTCATATTTTATTAGGAGTTAAAGCGGTGCCGTCGGAGTTCTACCTGAGAGATTTGAGGGTTTTCATTAACTGAAGTGTTGACCGAAATTTCTATACTGCTTATACTTTTGGTTGTTATGTGGCAATATGGGTTCAAGGTGAAGTTGCTCATATTGCATACCCTCGTCAGATTCCATGTTCGCGCAAACCGCCGGCTTCCTCGATAGGCATACACCTATTAGACTCGGGTCAGCAGATAGAGCTGGGCTCCGCGTTTAAAGTTGTGTTGCGTCACACTAGTCCATGCTTCCTTCGGTTTACTGTGGCTGTCGCTATAAGCCGGATTAAACCAGCCTTGTGCGTTCAGAAACAATTATTTGTCAGCCTAAAGCTGCCTTGGACGTAGGTGTGAACTTCCGTCATCCGTTTTGCACCTTAAGCTTGTCTGGTTGCACCCACTGTTAGCTATATCTATGCATATCGGTTATTGTTAATGGTACTGAGAAGACAATACGAAATGCATGCATCTACCAGCCTTCGTCTTCTTTCCGTGCTTTTCATAATGAGTATAAACAAGTTTTTTCAGTTAAATCCAGATGTTTCGTCCATAAAATCTCTTAAGGATGACATTTACGAAGGCAATGAACCGAGCAAACCAACTGGTTTGCAGTGCTTTTCTTGCCATGCTAGATAATATCAATGCAGCTTTAAGGATTTTGATATGCTTCAGATCGAGCTGGTGGTTTTCAACATCCATACACACGGATATCGGGACTTCTGGACGTCAAGACAATAATGTGCATTTTCGATCGATATGATTAAAGGTAATTCGAAACGCCAGAACAACAGTAGAAGAATTAGCATAATGAAAAGCTCATTGGCAAAATTTACCGGTCAGTTCTTGAATGCTAGCGTTTTGGTCACCTAAAATCTGGCTAAATAAGGAATGGTTGACGAGCCATAAGCAGTCGTGCGGACATATATTGCCCTGCACTTTTGTCTGGTCGACGAAGTAGACATGTAGCTAGAGAGTGCCCTGTGGTGGGTGACCAATGTCGGTGGGTACTTTGAAGGCAACTTTACTGCATGAATTTACGTACGTAGACACATTTGTTTGGGCCGGAGTTGGATTTAGAATGCCACTGCAGCGAGACAAATGTTTCATTGACCTATCACGCAGCTTGAAATGCTCACACAGTAGGCCTGGAAAAATCACAAGAAAGCAATAATTCCGGTGTGGTAGAATGCACCCAGTGATGAACTTTGAAATCGAATTCTATGCTACGCAGCGTGATCACATTCAAGCGAGGTAAAACGAATGAGTTGGCTATGTTCATTCAGCCTTGCTGTTTGTCCCACGTAGCTTTTAGAACATTTAGGCAACAGATCTTGTAAACCACATCGTATGTTTTCTCTTCCCCACAAACCAAACTTTATATAGCCTACAACATTTAAAAATATCTGGACTACGAGCAACCTTTTCTATGGGTAAAGCATCATTAGTGCTGTGCAAAAATTAGGCGCTATCCAGTTACAACAGCTCCTCGCTGGACGCTTGCCATTTCCTTGTCCTCTACCACCAGTCTGTGATCATTAGTCGGTACGCACTGTACATCTGACCCACTTCTTCCCTCTCTGCGATGATGTTCAACTTGACACATCACATCTCCACTACCCGTCTAATCGGCGCGATGGTGTTTAACCAGCGTGCGTGGCACCCGATTCACTTTCTTTTAGTCCGCGTTTGCTTCTTGAACCATCCACCATCGCATCGCATGCCGGTGGTGTGGGGTCGTTGACGTGCACCTTCCGTTCGCTCGCAACTGTTCGAGCTAACCCGTTTCGCTTTTGTCCGTGGCCGTACTGTATTTCCTTCACTCCAGGCTAGGCTAGCGTACATCATCATCGACTGACTGGCCTGTCTGTCTGCGCCGCCTCGGTCACCGCCCAAAGCACCAACTACTATAGTGTATATATTTTACCTATTTCGTAATATTTAGTACCAACGCAACTCCATATCGTCTGTCATCTTCGGCGTACACCACGAAGTTTCTCATTTTTTTACTTTCTGCAAGCCTACGTAGCAGCGACTCCCATGATTAATTGAGTCCATCTTCATTGGACATAATTCCCTCAGCTTCTCATCGAATCAACACTTTGATATCGGGCGCAATGACTTGACTAGTCACTTTCTAGTTTCACTACTTCGTATATAAAAACTGCTGCTCCAGTCTCCCACACTTATTAACTGTCGCTTCAACGTTGCGATGTTCTTTTTCATCCAATAATGACTGTCTGCGTAAGTTTGACATCTGAATTATGGAACACAATCCTCTGTTGAATGTCCTTTGAAGTAACCCGGTGAATCACCCACTTATTATCACCTTGTGTTTTTTTCAATTTAGGTTATTCCCGTCTATGATCTTGATGATCAACTGTTGTGTAGTAACGTTTATTTGACATGTTATCACTTTCCTTCAGATCGACTCGCACCAGTCAGTTCTCTGGCTTCCTACTACCAATGTAAGCGACTGGTTCCACCTCAATCCTGAGGTGGACGAAGATACTTTGACTGGCAAGCCGGAGGTTGTTGGCTGCGGACGCTCTGTTGGTGGCTTGGTGAGCGCGTGTGTTAAAGATGGAGCTCATGACAATTTGGAAGGCCACCGCTCTGCCGATGTGGGTTGTGGCTCTGGTTCTGCAACGTCAAATGCAATCTCTTTGCAACGAATGATATCTAGGTGCTCATGCCAGGTGTTCTATGTGCATTATGATCCAGCGGACTCAAGTGACTTGTCATCAGTAGACTTGCTATCCCCACTAGTAAGTTTAGTCCTTTAACTTTAACCTATGAGGCCACTTTTGGAGATGCTTCATTAAACTCTTGTTGAACATTCGTCCTGTATGATCAATTTTTGAATATCCTCACTAACACCCACGGCATTTAACTCCATCTAACTTCTTTCATCTTGTATTTCCAACAGTCTTTTGATGAAACATTGGTTCTCAGTTCTCATGAAGGGGCTGACACGGTCACACTGCTGCATCACACCCTCAACGTATGCACTAATTCGGTAGGTTTACTTGTACTTAGAGCCATATCGCATCCGCCGAAAAAGGTTACATGCTTTTCTTTCAAAATGTCGCTCATCGTTCTCCCCTCTCCATCCTCTTGTTCCTCGCTGCAGTTAGTTGAGTCATTTGAAGCCCAGATCGTATGTGACCTAGTAGAGTGGATCCCGTTTGCAATTTCTGCGAGACACTAGATTACTTCGCCTACTTTCTCCAGACCCCATATTTGCGCTGCGTACGATCTGGAGTTTGAGTTGACTTATGGTTTTTTTCACTACTGGGTCACCTTGAATAACCTGAACAAATTCTGGTTGTTGGTACGTACTCTCCTTAATGCCTGACGAAACTTATAAATGCCGTTTTATGGATTAGAGGCTAATCCTCAGCACATGTTGCCCATTAATAATCTAGAATCAGCCAAAGGATCCCATTCAGACAGTTAAACAATAGATACCACAATTCTAACACTTGGTCTCAACTACTTTGTTTACAACACCTGCAATTCAATGTGCACATTCTGGAGTTGGGTAGTCTATAACAAATATTTTAGTTGCTGGATTTTCGTCGCCAGGCTAAACGACATCAGTGCATTTTTCACAAAAATGTATTACCAGTGCTCCTAACTCGATCAGACGTCCAGAATCGGTTTCCGAATCCTTCATTGACTCCTTGTTTTGGGGGCCGAGTAATTGCTTTCTCTATCTCACTGGCATGGGTGTTTGCTGATTTGGCCCGCAGCGCCTCCAACACAAAGTCCAGTACTATCTCGTGTTATGCTTCGGTGAATTTCTACGATTTCCGACTTCTTGTTCTTCCTATCATCTTGACATACTCCAGAAGAAAATTGTGATTTTTCGCGTCCATGCGCATCAAGATCACTGATTTCTGTACTTATCGGCGGATGGTCAAACTATATTCATCTAGTCCATTTCAAAGCATCTTTTCTGCTTGGTCCACATAGGACGTGTCACGGTCTTTGCCGCAAATACTGTAGACCACGATCGTTGTTTCTTCTTCTCTCAGTTTGTCTTTAAACTTGAAGAGCTTATCCCGAAATGTTTCCATTAGTTGGTTATCCACTTTAATGCGGAGTTTCATCGTTTCCTCAAGAACTCCATTTATATATTTTAAAATAGTTTTCTACTCAAACGCTATGACAGTTGGTCTGTATAGTTATCGCTTTTCAGACATCAAGCAACGTAAAATGAAACTTGATATGGACTTCCTTTAAGCATATATATATATATATATATATATATATATATATATATATATATATATATATATATATATAGTGCCCCATGCTGAGGCTGGTGTTGCATTATTGTTGATTCTTCACCGCAGTTGGGCTAAACCAATTTACGCTTAAACTATGTCTTTTTAAGCTGGATAAATTTCATTCCACTGTATTTGGTTTGTTCTGCCTACCTGATAAATCTTCTATTAACTGGCCACGTTGCTTACGCTAATTGCGTTTCTCTCCGGTAACTTTGTTGCGTTTGTAGCATTTTTAAGTAACTTGTGGACATTTCTTACTTATCGATCATTCGTTGCTAACTTTGTATGCTAATTTAGCGAAGAGTTATGCCACCGTATCTGTATGCATTATTGAATTTATTTTACTTCATCTTGTCGTTTAAAGTGAATGGCTGTTGCTTGATATCCCCGGTGTGACTGCGCTTGATGTGCATGTTGACAAGGTGCGTACCTGTCTATAACTCACTACCTCGTCCATATTGGCTCCAGGAGACAGTTGGTCGTTGTTGGAGGGGACGGGGTGCACGATCCTTGTGGCCGTGCTATGCTCGTAGAGTGGTTCCATGCACTCAGTGTGGAGCGGACTACGGTCCAGCCACCTTCTTATGCGCGATTGGTTCTTAACTACAGCGTGCTTGTGTTTGCCGGTGATGGAGTGTGGGCCGGCTCCGTTGATGAAACGTCGCTCCCATCTACATGCCTCCCGGTCTTATTCCTTCGGGTTTGCACTGGATATGGAGTGTGTGGATGGAGCTGTGGGTGGTGCAGCGCAAGCCACCCATGGTCCCTCTGTAGGCGCAGGCGTCCTGTGGCTGGTCATAGTGACAGGCAAATCCGAAACCGGATGTCGCTAGCCATATATCCAACACCGCCAATGGTACACTTGGCATAGTGCCACAACGTATGGGAACTACAATAAACAGACGGAGAGGGAAATGATATAAACTTATGTTCATGGGAATATAATTCTTATATTAATAAAGTGTCAGCAATACGCCGTGACGACGCTTCGCTGCCGTGCGACCACCACCATTCACACGCGAGGACACCCACCCCTACGTGGGCTCGAACTCGCGCCGCAAGGTTACGAGACAACTCATGGGAATAGAGTCAACAGATCCGCTGAGATGGCCTGGCAAATTATGTCGCATCATAAGGTATACATGTAATTCAAAATAAAATAAAAAATTACTGTATGAGACCAAATGTAATTCCTTTTCTTTTTATTTTTTCGTCATAAAATATGTTCCAACAATTCTTCGGAATAGATGCTTGTCGGGAAGCGTTCGGGTTTGTTCACTCGGTTTTTTCATAAGAGGAGAAAAGTAACAACGGGCACAAAGTTAAAAACAACCTGACATAAGTGAACGTAGAGAAATTTATACTTTTGATATATGACAACCTTTTTGACAGCACAGAGAGAGTGGGATGATCTACACATACCTCACATAGCGCCGCTTCTGGATGAAACCTCCAGGTTGTCAGTCATTTGCGTGTTGGTTGCATGAGGAAACTCACTTAAAAGCTTAATCCAGCTGATATCTGTCTTGTTCACGGATCAGGACCTCGGGATCGGCCGCATTTGTCCCTATCCACCATATCGGACATGTCGCAACCGAGAGGTTATTGGCACTCTTCGTTTCTTTCCCATATCCACTCCACCTGACATTATTCCCTGTTTCTTTCTTCCCTGTTATTATTGTTACTGTTACTATTATGTTGACGCCATGTTTCACGCAATCAGCTCTATTGTGTGATGGGAGTCTCCTATCAGAGTGAACGGTGGATCAAAGGAGCAAGCTAGGCAACCAATGGGAAACGAACAGAACGGATTAGATCGCTGGACTCGGATTGGCCGATGTTTGTGTGGGTTTCGCACAGTTAGATTCATAGTCGAAGAAGGAACATTATCGTCTTATAAGAGTTGTTATGTATGGAAGCTAATGGAGTGCAAACATGCCGTACTTTATCGAATAAACGATTGTCCCTAAGGTACTGAGTTCCGCTACCTGGTGTCTGAGAAGACTGAGACGAACTCCGCATGCGGCGCTAAGATGCTGATTGGAGCACCATTGCTTATTCAAATGCCTGTCCCAACGAACATGATAAAATAGAACTTGGCAAGTAATTGCCATCTATTGAAGAGCACACTGGTGCGTTTGGACGAGCAATGGATGGCGTATCGCTTGGCCATATTTCGACACACAGCTGCGTATGACACGCGCCGTATGCTAGATATATTACGCCATGACAGAGATTTCAATGATTCGGAGACGGTCATTTAAATGTTCAGTGAGACTTGACAGCACGTAGCAGAGACCTAAATGAATCCGACGATGCGTATGTAACTTACTTAAGATTTTTAACCTAGTCCTGCAATTTCCGTAAATGCATGAACGACGGTCTCATACGGTACTGGATACTTCCAGGATTCAAAGACGATGGGTACAATCTACTGAGCTGCCGGCTAGGAGTGTCCCATTTGTACTGCGTGACATGCACTGAGATGAATTAAACAAATTGCCTATGGAGCATATAATTACCGAAGTTGACGAGCCACCTGATTTAGCTAGTCAGTTCGTAGTCATTACAAAGAAGACAAGTAAACTGCGCGTGTGTATTGACCCGAAACCGTCGAATGGGACCCTTCATAGAGAATATTACGCGATACTGGCTCTAGAAAACATTTTGCAGTGTTTCACTAAAGCTATGCTTCACGAACGCAAACCTGTCTTCCTCGTTTTTATACGTAGTTCGGGCGTTATCTTTTGCTGCGTTTGTCGTTAAGTTTTAAGTGAGACTTTTCTGCAACGGTTGCTGCAACTAGTAGATGCTTTCGATGTTTGTCACACGATGGTGCGATTTACGGCTCGATAGGAAACGAGCATGACGCTAATGTGTGTCGTATGTAATAGAACATCAAGTTTAGGTGTGAGCAAATTTAGCTTCGACAAGACTAGGTGGTTTCTATGGGCATCAGGGTCGATCCAGAAGACTTTAAGACGAAAAAAGAGATGACACTTCCTAACGACGTAAAGGAAATCCATGGTATAAACTTTATGATGAATTATTTGAAACGTTTCATGCCAAGACTCGCTGATTTCATGACACCGATCAGGAAGCTAACTTACAAAGTAGTAAAGTGGAGTTAGGGGAAGAACAGGGAACCACATTCGCGATCATTAAGCATCTTATCAGCAACTAGCCCATACTCGGATATTACGATCCAATGCAGTCTCAGGAGGTACAGTAGCCCTGGCGGCATAGCTGCTGTTCTCCTACAGAGTAAAAAATCTTTGGATTCCCTCAGTCAAATCAAGTCAAAATATGCATTATGTGCCCGACTGTACAAGTTTTTAGCACTCACAGTGACCTGGCCGTATCCTTATCTCATCACTATGAGGATAAATGCTGGAAGATTAACGGAGCAATTGATTTGATATTCTGGCCAGGAATGGGGGGTCATCTCATGGATCATGTGTCGAACTGTGAGGCGTTCCGTTCACATGAAATTCAGCAGACGAAAGAACCAATGGAAATGCATGATGATCCTGATCGACCTTGGCGGAAGCTGGTGGTGGATTTATTCTGCGGCTATCATGATGATCACTAACTCACGGTTGATTATTAGGATGGCTATTTTGAAATTAAATCGCCATTGCGACCACAGAACCGGTAACCAACAAACTCAAACGTCATTTCGCGCAACACGGAATACTAAGATTATCAAAGGCTCGTAACCTAGTGGGCATTCGTGCACCGGCAAAGCAGTCCATGTCACAACCAATCAAATGGGAAGGCGGAGTTGGCAGTGAAGCAAGCCAGGTGACTGTTATCAAGGGCAGAGCTACTCGCGAAGACCTGTATCTCTTGCTACTGAAGAATCGCAACACCTTCAACGGATACCAGTCTGAGTTCAGTGTGACGCCTATACAACCGAAAGACTAGAATTCTGGCGTCGGCATCTGCCACACGTTTGCACCCAGTTTTACAATAGCATGTGAGACTACAGAACAGTTTGACGAGACGTGCGAACGAAACTGACTACGAGAGCGGTGAGCTGACATTGAAGGAGGAAGTATGGGTTCAACCTGCGCCCGATGATCAAGAGCGGTGGAGGAAAGGTGTTGTGGCTGCAAGGGCCGGTGCAAGGTCATACGAAATAAATTTTAAAGTGAAGACGCTCGGAAGAAATCGAGTGTAGTTGAGACGATACCGGAAACAGCGGTGTGAATTGAGCTCAGAGCGTCCTAGGACGTGGGGCAAGGTTCCCACTGCGAAAGATACAGCGAAGATGACGCGGAGTTACAAATTGTATGAAGTGCCTATCAATATGAGGGCACAAGAATAGGGAGGATGTGATGGATCGGAGGAGCGAGCTAAAACAACCAATGGGAGACGGACATAAGGGATTCGATTGCTGTGCACGGATTGGCCGATGTCTGTGTGGGTTCCTCCTCGTTTGTTTAGCTGCGTCTAATGATGAACAGTATCGGCTCATGTGGGTCGTTAGTTATGGTTGTGAACGGACAGTATATATTAAGGTGTTTGATGTCGCAAGTTGTCTTTACCATATAAATGCTTGTCCGTGGATCTTTTTTGTGTATCCGATGGGAACTGAAATGGTGACCCGAGTCGTGTCGGTATTACGGTAGCGTGCTGAACTAAGATAAACCCTTACGTCTACTTTCATCAGGGGTTATTTTGATTGGTTCCTTCCAGCACAGGATAACTTCCGTCTGTACCTCCTTTCATGTTTTCAATTGGGCTGCCGTATCAGCATTAAGGAGTTTGTAGTTTCTGCATCGTGACTCATTCTCAGCCCCTCTCGGGCAGAATATGGCTCCTTTGCGAATATTGGCAAGAAAAAGTGCCGCCAATTTCTTTTCCACGCATTTCCCTCTCTGGTTTATTTTTGGGACCTAAATTCACGTTTTTGTCCTTAGTTGAATGGAGTAAATCGCCGTATCTCCTCAGCGTCTTTTGCATGCCTCACTCCTGGTTACTTGAGACTCGCACTTGGACGTCTTTTGCTTTCCGTTTTCCTGGTGACAAGTCTGTGAATCCGTCGCCACCTATCGGTGATTCGCCAGTAGTATGCCCAGCTCGTTCATCTTGATTCACTGTTTGTAAGTTGTTTAGGTGCAATGATTCGGGTTGATAACTCAGTACTTTGCAGTGTTTGTGCTTTTTAGCTCTTATCTTCTCTTTCCAGCTGCAATACCATATGATCGTGAATATTGTGAACAATTTACTGTTGTATGTGGAACCTCAGCGCAAAGTGAGTTCTTTATTATACCTTTTCTTCCATCCTCTTCTTTTTCCACTTCTGTTATCACGCACAGTTAGACAACCACGGTTCATGTTGCATAGTAGTTGATAATATTTGGTATCGCCAAACAAGCACAACTGGTCCCATGTGCCTGTTGTTTTTCGTTCTGGAGCCAAAGTTGTCGTTAAACGTCACGGCCACCTCCGCAGATGCGTTTACTTTGTTTGTTGAGTAAAAAATTGCGGCATCAACGGTTTTTTCTCCCCTTCTTTATTCTGCGGACCTTTTATACCGTTGTTAATGCGTTCTTGTGTGAGTATCCGCTACTTCGTTGACGCGTTTGACGCTTCTGATGGATTAGCAACGAACTTTTTTTCGCCACGCAGTACCGTCAGCCACGAACCCATGTTCCCTGGGAGCAGACAGTACCGTTCCTTCTAAAAACCACTTTTTTGACGCTATTCATCTTCCCCCTAAGCCAGTGTACCGGTAACGTGGGACTCGACTGACGCACAACGGCAGCTGTACCCAGTTACCAAGCGAGGTTAGACGACTCCACTCGCGAAGCAGATGGTGCTTAATTGAAACTAGTTCCCGTAGAAATTTTTAGTAGAAAACTACGTGAATTTACGGTTTGGCTAAGCTACTTTCCTAATGCGCTGTTTGTAGTACAGGCCTGAAAATGTGAAGCGAAAAATTTCCGAGCATATATCGTGAGGTATGGTTGAAATGAGCGAGCATGAACTATTTTCTCATCGAGTTTTTAAAACAATGTGTCTTCACACTCGCCAGCTTACTTTTTATTCAAATCAGAAGCACTCATCAATCTCCACACATTAACTCGTTTGTTATTGTCTAGTTTAATCTTTATCTGAGCCCGTATCTTCTATCTTTCATTCGATTTCCTTGTAGGCCCAGTACGAGCGTAATCGTGTCTCCTTTGGTTTGATGTCTGATTCTCAACTTCGTTGCGCTATTTTACGGGACCAAGAAGCCCTTCGATGCTTAGTGGCCGAACAACGTCGTTTGGAACGTCATCTTTGGTCTTTCGCCCGCGAGGTGATGTCCACCTTCGGAGTACCGTCGGATTCACCCTTGCGAACTACGCTTGCGGCGACTTGGTCTCCCTGCAATTCCCTGCAACCGTCGGAAAATATGACAAAGTTGTTACTGAGTATACAATATGCTCGGTACTCAATCACATCAGCATACTTGTATTTTTTGCTTCATCCTAACGTTATTTGTTGTCAGTTGTTGTAATCAGCTGAGTTGCCCATGCCTTATTTCCAACTTCCGTATCTTCGTCATTTGCACGATTCATCACTAGCACTCTCTAGTACAGGGAACTGCGTAATATTATGAGCGTGCAGGGTGAAATGCCACTTGTGCCAACTTCCGGTTACAACCCACCATAGTTTCACAACACTCACTGTCTCCAACAAGGGACCGATACTGGGCCACCTGTTTACTGTTAACCACCAATATCGAGGATATATAACCTATGAACTTGACCTTTTGCAAATAAAACTGGAAACATCGAATCCGGGAGCGTTGGGATGTTAGTTTGGATCTCTATCCCTAAGCCACCGGATCACGACGAGCAACGCTTGGCACAACGGTTAATGACTGATTGCAGGGTCATTTTTGAGTATATGTCATGGGATTGGGTTGCGACGCGCAGTCCCAATATGGATCGTGATTAGCATTGAAGTGAACCTTGGTCAACTCAAGTACGGTCGAAACGCGTTGTGTAGCGCAGTGTATCTTTGTGGGCGGCACCCGACTTTCTTCTGCTTCATCAGCTACGGTCCTTCTGATCGGTACAACTAAGGTTCGCTTCAATGCGAATCTCGGTCTACATTTAGATTGCGCATCGCAGTCCAATCACTTGACGTACTTCAAAATGACCCTGCAATCAACCATTAACCGTTGCTCGTCCCGACCCGGTGGCTTAGCGGTAGAGGCCCCAACTAACATTCCCATGATCTCAGGTTCGGAGCTTGTATTGAGACTACGCGCCGCAATCCAACCACAACGTGTACTTCAAAATGACACCCTTATCAAACTGAACACAGTTTATATTAAGCAGAAAAGCAGCGATTTGTTAGCATTGGCTTTATGTCTGACAGTTTTACAACGAGTGCCATATGATGTCCCCCTTATCACTGCCAATAGCTTAACTAATATGGTGGCAAATCAGTGAATCTATGGATAGACAATTCGAAAATATGTGAATCGGTCACCTATACGCAATAAACACATTCAGAGTCAGGAAGGATAATGGATATAACAAGTAAGAACACGGAAACATTACTTTTCAGAATAATACGCGAAGCAAATTGGCCTGACAATAAAGTGAGATGAGTCAACCTGGTGGGCGCTATTCGCAGTAGGATCATGACAATACTACCTTGTTGCTTAAGCCGAAATAGTAAGTTGATTTGGAGGCACCATTCGAGCTTTTGGCCGAATTGCTACTCTCAGAGCAGCGGACCGAAGTCAACGAGCCCCACTCATCAGTAGTGGACAACCGATTTTTCACTTCACACGTTTTTGGGTTGACGAGCTTCCGAAATGGAGTTTGGGGGAACACTATTCTCCACGATGCCATTATTTCTCCACTGGGATAGTGACTTTAGTTAGTGGCGAGTCACATCTGCCGCGTCGCAGAGTTGGCTAATACACATTTTTGGCGCTTTTTATGGTGAACGTATGTCAGATGTGAACCCACCACGTCCTGAAACACTACCGCCGATCGTTTGCTAGAGAAAGTACAGATATCCAGGTGGCAGCAGCCTTTGTTTGATATCTATATTTCGTTGTACATTTTTCCAGTTGATCTATGTGTGGCTTCATTTGATATGGGGTCTTCTGTTGACACCACTCGTGTTTCAACTGGATCACTATCACATTAGGTTTCATACTTCTTGAGCCGATCACGTATACATATCTCGCTTGGTGGGTGACACCCAATATATTCATTCGCTTCATCAGTTGCAATCGATCGAGTTGACCAAACTTCACTTCAATGCTGATCGCGATCCACTTCGAGATTGCGCGTCGCAATCCAATCACATAATGAGTGCTTCAAAATAACCCATACAATCAGCCCTCGCTTACTGTAACCTACCAAACGATCGAACTTATCCATTGACTGAAATGATTCGGAATACCTGTAGCTCGGGTTGATAGTTGACGTTTTGATTCGTTCTCCGGGCTGAATGATTTAATGACAAACGTTTCACCACTTTCCTCAGTGACATCTTCAGTGCACTGCTCCGTAGAGGAAAATTTCACGGAAAGTGTCGTCGGGACGTAGCGTTTGAAATTAGCCTCATCGATCTGTGTCCCGTGACCTCTGTTTGTTCGATATTTGGCTGTCCAGTTTCACGATTTCTCGGCTGTAGGTACACGGAGGTTCAGTGAATTCTCCGTAGAGAACCATGCCTCGAGGAATTCCCTTCCTTTTCTTGTCCCTCCGTGCACCAGAATCTCTGTGTTGTCCCAGTTAACGTTGTATCCTTCCTCATCGAGATGCGCTGAGATCTGTGACCATACATGATGGTATCCACATGCACGCTTGTGCTTTTGTATACTTGTGGATAGTTTTCTCCCCGTTTGATCTATATAGTCTTTGTTACAGTACTCGCATTGTATCCTGTAGACGACATTTTGGCGTTCGTGTGCCTCCAGTCTTTCTTTAGGTCTAGATAATATTCTTTTCAAAGTCGCAGTTGGTATGTGAACTATTGTCAGGTTGTGCGGTTTGAGGAGTCTGGCTGTCTTTTCCGATACCTTTCTGATGTACGGCAAGGCGATGTGTTTCGCCGTTGTTTGTGCAGGTGCGATAGTTGTGCTCCTTCGTTTTAGGTGTCTTCGGATGAAACTGCGTGGGTAGCCGTTGCGAATGAAAGACATAAACAAATGTTCCTCTTCCTTTCGTTTTGCCTCCGCAATATTGCAATGCGATTCTATCCTACGAAACAGCTTATTTTGTGACACCTAGGGTGATTGTTGTTAAAGTTCAGGATTTGGTCGGTGTGTGTTGCTTTTCTGTAAACTGTTTGTAATTCGCCTTCCACGGTTCTGGTAACCAGCATGTCCAAAAAATGTAGTTGGTTTTCCAACTCTTCTTCCATGGTGAAACGAATGCCTTCCACTGCATTGTTAAGTAGGTCTTGTGCGGTCTGTAGCTGGTTGCGTTTGAGAATCACAAAGGTATCGTCAACGTATCGCACCCATAATTTCGGACTATTGGCTGGGATTATATCCTTTTCCAACCTCTGCATAACGACTTCCGCAATAAGTCCAGATATGGGGATCCCATTGGGGCTCCTCTAACTTGCTCGTAGAAAACTCCGTTGAATTTGAAGTAAGTGGTAAGACACAAGTGAAGGAGCTTGCATATGCTTTCAGTTGTTAGCTTTCCTGTCGTTTGTCCTCCATTGTTCAGACGTTCTCTGATATTTTCTTTCGCTATGTACAAGTTGATGGAGGTGAAAAGTGCGGTGACGTCAAAGGATACCACCACTTCTTTATGGTCTATCCGCATGCATTTGAGCTTTTCCAAAAACTGATAAGCATTATTGATCTAGTATTGCGATCCGCTGGTCAGATGTTTGAGGCCTTTCCATAATTCTTTAGCCAAGTTGTAAGTTGGTGTACCTGAGAGTGATACTATTGGTCGTAGCGGCGCACCCTCACTGTGTACTGTAGGAAGCCCGTAAAACTGTGCGATATTTGGATCACGAGCCTTCATTCTATCATACTCTCCCTTTGTGAGTTGGTTTAATTCTTGAAGTTTCTTTAGTGTCTTATTCACTTTATTTGTCAACCGTACTGCTGGATCGTTCTCCATGCGTCGATAGGTTGTTGTGTCGGCTAGGAGATGACTTGCCTTTTCAATATAATCAGTTTTGTCCATTACGACAGTCATACGTTCCTTGTCCGCAGGCAGGTTTACGATGGTTTCGTCGGCCTTCAAGGATTTTAGGGCACTCTTCTCTTGTTGTGAAAAAGAGTTGTGTTGCTTGTTGCGTGCTAGAATCGGAACCACGGCATGCCTAATTTGTGTTTTGGTCTCTTCGTTAAGTCTATTGGATTGAAAGGTATTTTCGAATTCTGCTAGGAACTCCATGATTCCAGCATGCTTGAAGTTGTAGTTAAGTCCCTTGATGAGGACCTGTCGTTCAACGTCATCGAGATGCCGTTTGGACAGGTTCCTGACCCAACCATCGTTGACATCTGCGCACTTCAAACTGGACAATTAGGATAACTTTTCTCTAAGGGCGGCTTGCTTTTTCGCTTTTGCAATTGTTGCTTTGCGATCAATCACTAAGTCGAACTGTTCTGTCCGTTGTTGGCCGACTGTTTTTAGGCATGTAGTTCGGTGTTCCTCAAGACATCTTTCATATTTCTTGATCCTATTGTGTACATCAGTGATCATCATCCTCACCATACGTTTTCCAACCTGCCTTGCAACTGCCCACGCTTGCGGATGGTTTATCGGAGGCCTTTAGTTCACACTTCTGGGGAGAATGTCAATTCGTAGACATTCATGGAGGAAGGATAACTGTTCCCGTGTGGAGGCCTTCCGGCAGGCAAAGTCTTCCCAACGACGTGCAGATCGGAGTGTTGAGCGCCCATGATTATTTGCAATGATTCGGAATACCTGTAGCTCGGGTTGATAGTTGACGTTTTGATTCGTTCTCCGGGCTGAATGATTTAGTGACAAACGTTTCACCACTTTCCTCAGTGACATCTTCAGTGCACTGCTCTGTAGAGGAAAATCTCACGGAAAGTGTCGTCGGGACGTAGCATTTGAAATTAGCCTCATCGATCTGTGTCCCGTGACCTCTGTTTGTTCGATATTTGGCTGTCCAGTTTCACGATTTCTCGGCTGTAGGTACACGGAGGTTCAGTGAATTCTCCGTAGAGAACCATGCCTCGAGGAATTCCCTTCCTTTTCTTGTCCCTCCGTGCACCAGAATCTCTGTGTTGTCCCAGTTAACGTTGTATCCTTCCTCATCGAGATGCGCTGAGATCTGTGACCATACATGATGGTATCGACATGCACGCTTGTGCTTCTGTATTCTTGTGGATAGTCTTCTCCCCGTTTGACCTACATAGCGTTTGTCACAGTTCTCGCACTGCAACTTGTAGACGATATTTTGGAATTCGTGTGCCTCCAGTTTTTTTTGATTATATTGAAAAGCCAAGTCATGTCCTAGCCGACACAACAACCTGTCGACGCATGGAGAACAATCCAACAGTAGGGTTAACAAAGAAAGTGAATAAGACACTAAAGAAACTTCAAGAATTAAATCAACTCACAAAAGGGGAGTATGACAGACTGAAGGCTGGTGATCCAAACATCGCAGTTTTACGGGCTTCCTACAGTACACAATGAGGGTGCGCCGCTACGACCAATAGTATTACTTCCAGATATACCAACTTACAGCTTGGGTAAAGAATTATGGAAGGGCCTCAAACATCTGACCAGCGGATCGCAATACTAGATCAATAATGCTTATCAGTTTTTGGAAAAGCTCAAATGCATGCGGATAGACCATGAAGAAGTGATGGTATCTTTTTACGTCACCGCGCCTTTCACCTCCATCAACTTATACATAGCGAAAGAAAATGTCAGAACGTCTGAACAGTGGAGGACAAACGACAGGAAAGCTAACAACTGAAAGCGTATGCAAACTCCTTCACTTGTGTCTTACCACTTACTTCAAATTCAACGGAATTTTCTACGAGCAAGTTAGAGGAGCCCCAATGGGATCCCCATATCTGGACTTATTGCGGAAGTCGTTATGCAGAGGTTGGAAAAGGATATAATCCCAGTCATTTGTCCGAAACTATATGCGGGATACGTTGACGATACCTTTGTGATTCTCAAACGCAACCAGCTACAGACCGCACAAGACCTACTTAACAATGCAATGGAAGGCATTCGTTTCACCATGAAGGAAGAGGTGGAAAACCAACTACATTTTTTGGACGTGCTGGTTACCAGAACAGTTTAAGGAGAATTACAAATATCAGTTTACAGAAAAGTAACACACGCCGACCCAATCCTGAACTTTAACAACAATCACCCTAAGTGTCACACAAAATAAGCTGTGTACGGACCCTGTTTCGTAGGATCGAATCGCATTGCATACTGCGGAGGCAAAACGAAAGGAAGAGGAACATTTGTTTATGTCTTTCATTCGCAACGGCTACCCACGCAGTTTCATCCGAAGACACCTAAAACGAAGGAGCACAACTATCGCACCTGCACAAACAACGGCGAAACACATCGCCTTGCCGTACATCAGAAAGGTATGGGAAAAGACAAGCAGACTCTTCAAACCGCACAACCTGACGATAGCTCATATACCAACTGCGACTTTGAAAAGAATATTATCTAGACCTAAAGAAAGACTGGAGGCACACGAACGCCAAAATGTCGTCTACAAGATACAGTGCGAGAACTGTGACAAACGCTATGTAGGTCAAACGGGGAGAAAACTATCCACAAGTATACAAAAGCACAAGCGTGCATGTAGATACCATCACGTATGGTCACAGATCTCAGCGCATCTCGAAGAGGAAGAATACAACGTTAACTGGGACAAAACGGAAATTCTGGCGCACGGAGGGACAAAAAAGGAAGGGAATTCCTTGAGGCATGGTTCTCTACGAAGAATTCACTGAACCTCTGCATTGACCTCGATCCCGTGTACCTACAGCTGAGAAAGCGTGAAACTGGGCGGCCAAATATCGTACAGAGGTCACGGTAGACAGATCGACGAGGCTACTTTCAAATGCTATGTCTTGGCGACACTTTCCGTGAGATTTTCCCCTACGGATCAGTGCATTGAAGATGCCACTGAGGGAAGTGGCGAAACGTTTGTCATTAAACTGCTCAGCTCGGAGAATCGAAATATCATCCATTGACTCTCCATTTCTTTGATACTATTGAAATCATTGTGTTCTAACGCGGTTTCTTTGATCCTTTACCTCAGCCACCTTGAAGCTCAAATTGCCGGTGTGAAATCCCGTAATATGGAGCACAATGCATTATTGTCCCAGCGTCTTGCGTACTACCAACAGCTTCAGATTCAGGCCCAACGTCGTCAGATCAGAGTAGCTATGGCCAAGCAGGTTTTTCATGGGACACCCATAAACCTTTTCTGCGCCCCCGGTTCTGCGGTCGTACCTGGGAAAAGTTCGTTACTCTATATCGTTTTTGGTCAACTCTTTCACGTGCATTTTGTATGAACGTCTTTGATCGGTGCCATTTGTTCCTGTTTCTTATTGTTACTATGCGTGCAAACAGCCACATGCTTCCTACGCTTTCGGACACCATGGAAACTTTGAACTAAATCATTCGCACAGATCCCCAATTTTACTAGAATGTTTCCCGCACGAATCCCAAGATAATAAGGTACAATGTCTCAACTGGAAGCGCGGTCACTTTGCAATCGGTGCACCCTCCATCAGTTCTCGTCACTCGATTGACGGCATCCCATGATCATAAGAGACATAGGAGACCTTTTTCTTAACGTGTACTGCGAGACAATGCGCGCATGATGTTACATTTGATTTGGTCGGGATGTGTGCCCTCAATTCAAAAATTCTTATCTAGGGAATAATGCTTTCCAGATACACAGCGCGTGGTCATGTCGTAGCCAATCCCAAGTTGGAATCGCGTAGATCTACACTGTCCGTATGAGTGTGCAAAATTAACAGTTCACTGAAATCATTAATGGAATCCGTGGTGTCGAATCGCATTAACACTTACCAGCACTCTCATCATATGCAACCGAACCATATATATATATATATATATATATATATATATATATATATATATGTGGTTAGAGGCCAGACAAACTCAGTCTCCAGGTTGGGGATTGGAATGAGGGTGGCTCCTTATTCCTTAAAACGGACTCCGTGTAGCCCAACGCCAAATCCGCTGCCTTGCGGTCAGGTTTTTGAACCAAAAGCTTTGGTTGTGAACCCTAATCATTCTCCTGTGTAAGCCTGGGCAGTCTGAAAGTATCCTGCCCACGCAATACAGTGAATCTCACTTGAAAGAAATCTCTGATGCCTGGCCACCGCAGCGAATAATCAACGGTGCCCTATCTGCTGCATCGGGCAGGGTGGATAGGGGTTTGGATGCTACTGCTCAAGTCTTCCCGTCTTCTTATTCCCCCTCTTGCGCTTTTTCACCCTTATCGTCCCGTTGCAGCTTCACTTTTATTCCACCTGTTTCAACCCCCAATTCTCGGCCCCACTCACCTTGCTTCAATAGTCGCTTATCTTTTAGTTTCAGCTCACATGTGAAAGCGGAACGTCATTCCTGCCCTATCAACAGGCCCATGTCCATACAAGCGGCCCATTCCAGTTCACCGGCTTCCATTTAGAGCCATCGATCCTCCTTCAGATTGGCATGCCTCAATGTTCGCACATTGCTATAGATCGGTCAACAGGCAGCACTTGCACGAAAATTAGAGACCCTCTCGATCGATATCTGCTGCTTATCGGAGACCCGCCTGCAAGACTCGAGCTCTGTGCTCTGCGATCCTCTTCAGGTGACACTAGCAGCACTTTCTCATTTCGCCTATCTGGTGACGATGCAGCTTCGAGCACCGGCCAAGCCGGTGTTGGTATTGCCCTGAGTCCCCGGGCTGAAACAACTCTGGTTGATTGGATTCTAATCAGTAGCCGGATGTGTGCGGTCCGATTGACTGGCTCGTTCAAAACTTCGAAGTTGCGTGGGACCAACGGGTGTCTTTTCGTTATCGCTGCCTATGCACCGACAAACTCTAGCGATGATTCGATAAACGATGACTTCTATCGTCAAATGAACGAGCTCCTTAGCCACAGAAGGAGCTCAGACACTGTAGTGCTGGCTGGGGATCTGAACGCTCAAGTTGGAAAATTATCCTCTGGTGAGCAGCATCTGGGCGGCCAACATGGTATAGGCTTCCGTAATGATAACGATGAGCGGTTACTTCATTTGTGTGAGGATACTCACTTATTTCTTGTGAGCACTAATTTCCGACACAGCACCCGCCGGAGGGTGACTTGGCGCCCACCAGCCTCGAACCAGCTATGAAGGCAAATCGATTACATTGCGGTAAATTACCGCTGGAGGGGCTGCGTCCAGAACTGCCGCTCGATTTGGAGCACATGTGTGGACACCGACCATGCACTTGTGTGTGCTGACATTCGGATGCGTTTTGGCGGACGCCCAGGACGACGTTGTGAGCGCATCGACACCAGCCAACTGGCGAAGCCAGTTGTTCTGAAAGCCTATCAAAGTACGCTGTCATGCAAGTTGGATAAAGGCTCACTGGATGCAATTGAAGCTTACTGGTCTCATATTCGGCAGACCTTACTAGCAGCAGGATAATCCTCATACGTTTGTCTAATCACCAACATGGACATTTTGTCTCTTCGCAGTCTCCGGAACTTATATCTGCTCGCCGGTATATTCCGGCTGGAAGCGAACACAATGAAACTCGCAAAGAGCTCCGGGCAAAACTTCGTGCTAGCCGGAACAGAGACCGCGAATCCTGATGGTCTCATCGTGCATCAGAGATGGAAATGGCCGCTGCCCTTGGTAATCATCGTAAGTTATTCCGTCTGATACGGGAAACAGGCAGCAGGAGACCTGGTGTTAGTGAAACTATACGTGACGAGAGTGGACAGCCTTCCCACAACTTATCAAAACGCTTGAGTGTTGGGCTGAGCATTTCAAAATGCAATTTAATCGGTCGGAATGGTTAGATTTCTCACCGGCCACTGATCGCCCTGCTCCATGGGCTGTCCCTTTAGATCCACCTTCTCGCTCAGAAGTCGAACGTGAGATCGAACTGTTGAGGTTCAATAAAGCCGCGGGGTCTGATGATCTTCCTCCAGCCCTCTTCAAATTCGGGGGACCTGCTCTCGTGGATGATTTACATGAGTTACTAGTGAAACTGGGAGCAGGAAATTGTCCCAACCGATTGCAGTCGCTCCGTCATAGTCGCAATTTTCAAGGGAGGCTCACGATCGGAATGCGGCAGCCATAGAGAAATCAGTCTGATTATCGCCTCCAAATTGCTTGACTCTGTCATTCTTCACAGACTGACTGGCACTCGTGAAAGCCAGATTCGTGAAGTGCAAGCTGGATTTCGTCGAGGTCGTGGTTGCATTGACCACATCTTCACCTTGCGTCAGTTGTTGGAGCACCGTCACATATATTGGCGGCCCACCATTGTCGTGTTCCTCGATATCAAAGGTGCATTCGATTCGGTTGATCGATGTGCCCTTTAGAATTGTTTACTCAGGAAAGATGTCCCTGAGAAACATGTGAATATTATCCGAGCATTGTATGCGCGTAGCTCGGGCAGAGTGAGGGCTTACGGCAAGTTTTCGTCGCTCTTTAATATCTCCAGCGGCGAGAGACAAGGATGCCCGCTGTCACCTTTCCTCTTCAACTTCGCTGTTGACGAAGTCCTGGAAATCGCGTTCACAGGACACGACTTAGAAGGTGTGGATCTGCTCCCAGGAGAACGAATTCTTGACTTAGAGTATGCTGATGATATTGCCCTCATCTGTGACATCTCCCAGACGTGCCAAGCGGCACTGGACAGATTAGCACTAGCTGTCCGTCAAATCGGGCTTTACTTCGCACCCTCGAAGTGCAAAGCCTTCCTCCAAGATTGGTCTGGACCGCCTCCTACGCTGACCATTGGTGGAGATCAGCTAGAAGTCGTTCAAAAATTCAATTACCTGGGAAGTTGTATCAGCGCCCGTGGGATTGATGATGAGATCACGAACCGTATAGCAAAAGCTCGAGACGCTTTTGCTAACCTTCGCTACTTATGGCGCCGGCGCGACATCACTTTTGCCCTGAAGTGTAGAGTGTAAAATGCAGCGGTACGTTCGACCCTACTGTACGGTTGTGAAACCTGGCCCCTAAAGTCGGCGGACTTGAAGAGGCTAGCTACGTTCGACCATCGGTGCCTTCGTAGTTTAGCTCACATCTGGTGGGAACCGCGTGAACAACGCGCGTGTTCGACGCCTTGTTTACGGCACAGAAAAAGGAAATGAACCGCTGAGCACCGTCATTTCACGCACCAAGCTCCGATGGCTCGGCCATATGTTACACATGCCATCGACTTCCGCGACTTGCGTTGTTTGCGGGCCGGGGGTGTGGATGGAAGAAGAGGTGTGGCCAAGCGATGACTTTGTCGAGAGGAATGAAGGCTCTCACTTCTGAGCTGGCCTCGGTTGGAGCGTTTCGGCATTATGTCTGTTAGCAGACTTTTGCAAATATATATATATACTGGTTGGGGTCCGAAAGACGATGAACACGTTTGGTTGGACACACTTGTTGATATGGCTAGGAGCTGACCTCAGTGGCGTTCGTGCTGTGAGTTTATTTGTCCCACCCCATCCCTCTTAGCCTCCCCCTCCAACTACGATCTCATTACTTAGCCTTATATACTTTTGCATAGTAATTTTTCTTGTTGCCTAGTAGTCGGCTGTTAGCTTACCGGAACGATGCCCATCCGTTACCGGTAGCTCAGCCGGCATGCACCATTTGCATTCTATTTTTTATTCTTTTTCTGTGTATTACGGCACAGTAGCTGAAGTGTTCCCCACATCTAGCTAACGTGGGTGATATATATATGGATGGATGATATATGTATATATATATATATATATATATATATATATATATATATATATATATATATATATATATATATAATCAAGGGAGGGTTGACCTCGATGCACTGCCTATTGCCTTTTGGGGAGTACCCCACTTTGTGACCGCTGCTACCTATGCGCATCAAGAAGCACACGAGGACACCGTTACATGATTGTAGTACCGGATTTGGGGCGGGTCGCTCGCCAACTCTGATTCGAACGGAGAGTAGTGAAGTTTTGGACCAACTGGCCGCGGCATGCGGTCGATGCAATCGGTGTTGGAATTCAGGAAATTCCTGAACAAACACCTTTCCGACATTAAATATTCGGACGTGCTCGCCAATCTAAGAGGTCTTTATACCCGAGGAATTTTAGTAGCGGTTACACAAATAAATCTATTTTGCCACTTTCATGCACTGTAGAGTCTACTCACACCGGTTCAGCGACGTTAATAGCTGTCTGTCTGTGAGACATACAGACGAAACGAATGGAACTAGCAAACAGCGCGTTGACGATAGACATTACCTGAAGCTCAACCTAAGCATGCGTAGTCAATTTCTCAGACGCGAGGATGATTGTGCACATCATGCCTAGCACGAGCCATGCCTTATTAACCAATTATTAAAGTTATCCGATGTAATTTAACCAAGATGTAACATCTTCAGATATACACGCGAAGCGTGTTAGTCAGACATAAGTTTTATCCGACTCTCACAGATGTGTACCTGTAGAAATCATTGTCTATTGTACTATGAGTACTACTGCGTGCTTGCCGGTTACTGATGCTTTTGGTTTCGGTGTTTGCTTTACTCTCTTTAAAAAACCATGGAGTCTTTCAACCCATCGATCTTGGAAAGCATTTCGAGTGAAAGTGCACTGTTTCTCCTACACCTTCTAGTAGTAAATTCTAAAGGAACGCTCACCGGATTACTCGGGATTTTTCTTCCGGCTTATTTAAATATGCTATTCTCTCATGTAGGATCCTTGGTTTCTATGACATTCCCGTTTTAGAGGTGATTCACTGAACAGAAAATGGTTATTTTATTTTTTCTGATTTATCTGCTGCCTTAAAAAAACATTTGTATCCTTCATCCTTATTAGTTTCCGTTCATGTTTGTCCTCTCATCTCATTCCAGTTTCTTCTATAGATACTGCGGATCATTCGTCACCTCGTACATACACCCCTAACAACCTCGTCAACGCTTCGGTGCTCCCAGTTCCCGACCCTAACTGCGTTAATCATTCTGTGGCTGACCAAGTGGATGTAAAGGAAACTAATTGGCAACGCAATTTTCTGAGTTCTAGGCAAAGTCCTCATCCAGCTGGTGTTGTGCGTCGCAGCGAAGTTAGTAGCTTAGAATCTTTGTCTTACCTTATTGCCCATTGCCTTAACCAGGTTAGTATACCTATCTCCATGCTCCTTCCTTTTTACAGGTTTGTTTTGAACATGCCCGGTGGCGGATAACTGAAAACGACGGGCAAATCGGACTGGCCGACGTGGAGTTACGTGGCTTCCTATATACTAAAACGCACCGCCAAGATGATTCAGGTTCTCATTGGCTTGAACTGGGATGGATCAGAGTAGACAGTTTGGCGCCGGATTCCTTTTTCAGAGTCAGTTTATTCGGTTGCACTTTAGCTCATTCTTTAAAGTTGAAGCGTTGCGTGTTGCTGGCCCTCGGTGGCGTCATTCCCCACAACTGTTTTCATCCCCCTTTCACCTTCTCGTATAGCAATTTATCTGTAACGTCAGCAACTAGCTGGTGTCGACTGCACAACTGTGGATTCCATCGGCAACACTTGCGACAGCAGCTAACATTTCACATATTGATCCATAAGCTTTTAAAAAACAAGCCATCGTCCTCATAAGTTGCCATGCTCCGTCTTCCAGAGTCCGATTTTCGACGCTGTTTTCCAACTACTTCGGTCGCAGCTTAACCTATCAGTGGACAACTGTGGGGCGTGGTCTGTTCACCGGCTGCCGAGGCCAGCTCACCTCTCGCAGATACAGGCGCCTAAACTGCTCAGGGTCATTCTTTTCACTCCTGAGATGCGCCAGACTGTACTACAACGGTGGTATGAGCTACGTGGAAACTTCCCGTACGAAGTCAGGATGCATCCAGACAAACCGCGGGAGGAGCGCAGGCAAATTCAGGGACGTAATTCCACGCCATTCAGCCGAGCCACGCCATCACTACCAATTACGCGACTTGTGGATATACCAAAAAACGAGCAGGCACCGGCCCCTGTGGGGTCGGTGTAAACCACACTGGAACTACCCTACCATCTATGCCTTCAAGCCACTTCCCCGCCAGCAGTTCATGTTAGCACGTGGAACTGCTTGTACACCAACGCTTTATCGCTACGGAACAAGGTGTCCGAAATCTCTTCCCTTGCGCTGGACACGCAAGCCAAAGTTATATGTATAACCAAAACCTGGTTCTTCCCAGACGTTGTGGACGCCGAGGTAGCTATCCCGGGATACGTGCTCTTTCGAAACGATCGTGAAAGCGACAAAGGCGGAGGCGTAGCTGTGTATGTATCAGACCGCCTCACATGCGTCCCTCTCAAATCTCCGGAACTGCTATCTCTTCCCGAATCCCTCTGGATTCGCGTCCGCGACTCTGGTTCTACCAGTCTCACCCTCGGAGTGGTTTATCGCCCTCCCTCAGCTGCGCCAGAATGGCTGCAGTGCTGGAACGCCGCCCTCCGAGCAGCTGCTTCAGATTTGGGTGCCCCCCTACTCGTCGCAGGTGACTTTAATTTCCCGGAGATAGACTTTACCTCTGGCCAAGCTCGCAGTCAGCACAGCCTTGAGTTTCTTGCCAGTGTTCTAGAACATGACCTAACCGAACACGTACAGCAGTACACTCAGTGGCGAGACGGTCAAAACCCGTCGAAACTCGACTTGCTGCTCACCGACGAGCCACATCTAATTGACAACGTTAATTTGAGCGCCCCAGTTGGTGCAAGTGATCATGTAGTTATCAGTTTTCGTGTGGTGGCGAACGTCACGCTCAACGCTAAAGCACTGCCCATCAGGCTTAACTTTCGTCGAGCGGACTATGACGCGATCAAAGATTTCCTCTCACGAGTCGACTGGTCCCTAGCAGCACAAACTCCCACAGTCGACGACCATTGGAACTACATCGCCGCTCACATCCACGACGCAATTAGGGCACACGTCCCCACAGTGCGCGCTTATGCGCCGAAACGCCATAGGCAACTTCAGCCTGCTACGCTTAGGCTGATCAGGGAGAAGAAGGCCCTCTGGAACAGATTCTTACTTTTTGGCGACTCTGATTCGCGAGCACAATACAGTAGAGTGCGAAATTCCTGTATAGCAGCTGTTCACCAGGACATAAAAGCGTACCAGCTCTCTCTCGCTAAAAGCTTCACCGATAACCCCAAGGTCTTCTTTAAGCATATAGCGTCTCTCACTAAATCGCGCGCTGCCGTTGGCAGCCTGCTCAGACCCGTAGGCAATACCACAACGTCGGACAAAGAGGCTGTGGAATTGCTGAAGACTCAGTACGAGTCCGTTTTCGGCACCTTCGCACGCAGTACAATGGAAGGCGCTAATTTTACCCCCATCGCTGCCGGACATCCCGTGCAGTTTACATCAGAGAAAGTCCTGGAGAAATTAAAAAAATTAAGGACAGACAAATCGCCGGGTTTGGATGGGATCCTTCCCATTTTTCTACTTGAGTGCGCTACGGTACTGGCCGAGCCGCTTGCCTTACTGTACAGCCGCTCCTACACCAGTGCCGAATACCCGAATGCTTGGAAGCAAGGGGTCATAACGCCGAAATACAAGGGTGGTGACAGGACAAACCCCTCTAATTATCATCCGATAGCACTGCTTCCCACTGCCTCCAAAGTAATGGAGAGTATCATAGACGATTTCTTGCGCTGCCATTTAGAAAGTCTGACCTTAATAGCCCCGGAACAGCACGGGTTCCGCAGGGCTCACTCGTGCACCACGAATCTTCTCGCAGCCCTTGATTCCTGGACTGCAGAGGCAGACAATCATACCCCAACTGACGTGGTTTACGTGGATTTCTCATAAGCATTCGACCGGGTCAATCACGCACTGCTGTTGAGTAAACTGCCGAGTTTGGGGATCGACCAGCAAACAATCTGCTGGCTAAGTACCTACCTGTCTGGCCGCACCTACCGAGTTCGTGTAAACGGCGCACTCTCCAGCGCTCTGGTTGCAACGACCGGGGTGCCCCAGGGATCCATCCTCGAGGCCCCTGCTGTTCAATTTGTTCATCAATGGCCTCCCATCCTGTATCAGCAGCCACATACTGCTTTATGCGGACGACGCTAAGATATGGCGACCTATCCGCAGGCCAAGTGATCAGGCACTTCTCCAGACAGATATCGATGCTGTTTATTCTTGGGCCTCGAAAAATTCGCTCCCGTTTAACATCGACAAGTGCAAAGTCATGCACATTGGGCAAGGTGTGGCTAATCCGTACAATATCGGCGGTGTGCATCTTAAAGCCACATCCCAGGAACGCGACCTGGGGACCATAATATCCGCCGACCTGAGCCCGAGCGCCAATGTAGCTACACTGGCGCGAAAGGCTAGCGTTCGCCTGGCCCTCCTTGGACGTGCACTAGGGTCTTTCCCTAGAGAGACATTTGTCCGTCTCTATAGCACTTTAGTACGTCCGCTGCTGGAGTACAACATACTTGTCCAGCCGCCGTACCTGAAGAAGGACGAGGCCATGCTGGAAACTGTACAGCGCAGAGCCACTAAGAGAGTGGACGGACTATCCCACTTCTCGTACGAGGAGCGTCTGGCGGCCCTTAACCTCTTCCCGTTGAAATATCGCAGGCTTCGTGGTGACCTTATCTTAGCTTATTCCGTCCTGGCTAATTACAGGCACCCGAACGCAGGATTGCTGGTCCGCGCCCGTACAGATCATCTTCGAGGGCACTCACTCAAACTGATGACTCGTAGCAGTCGCCTTCTGTGCCGAAGAAACAGTTTCAGTGTGCGTATTGCCTTCGCTTGGAACGCCCTCCCTGAAGTTGTTGTCTCAGAGCCCAATAAGGAGGCCATCAAACAGCGCCTAGACGCTTGGCTCTTGCCTCGCTGGTCTTCCACGTTGCTAAGATCTGGTCATTTGCCAAGCTAACACGCGGCGCTTCTATCATTTTGCTTCTATCCAACATCGCCGAATTTGCCTACACCACTCTCTTGTTCCAGGTATCCACGTTCCCACAGTCAACTCGCTGAATACTTGTGCTGAACACCACTGCTGCGTCGAGACCCACAACATCTGGTACCTACCGACGAGATCAGGACCTTGCCGTAAGATCCCGAGGCAGAACCACCGAAAAGCTACGCTTACTCATTCTGCGCAAACCCGTGAAACCAGTACTTCTTTTTGATAAAGGAGAAGCGTTTTGGATGTACAGAAGCCGGATCGATCGAATCCATTTCATAGAGCAGAGCAGCGTGTAGGTGTTGTCTGCAGACACTCCGTGCTTCTCGAAACTCCGAAAAGCCCTTCCTGATGAAGCCGACAAATACGTCCGCCAGCACCCGGTACACCAGACAATCGACGTGAGGCGGTTTAATAACTACGGTGGCTTTGCCTTATTAACCTTACATACCGAAATGGGCACCTGATGAAAAGTGTCGAAATATCCTGCCAAGCTTTACAATTTAAAGTAAACAGAGGATGGCCGATATATAGTCGGAATACGAACAACACTCTCGAGTCACCCTCCTCAGGTCTTAGTAGCTTACCTCAATGGGCTGTGATACTCGCAAAGCCATTCGAAACGATCATCAGGTACAGAAACACGGCCTCAGGTAAAAGTAAGACAAAAACCAAGTACTTTCGTTAGGATTAATGGTGCAGAACGGAAAGTTTTCCGCGGCCGCGTGACTCTTAGTAAGGACGTTAAAGAAACTAGATTTCCCATACATACATACATATAACACAATACACAAAGGAAAAATAGATACAACAGTCGCATGCCTGCTGAGTTACCAGCAACGGATAGGCATCGTTCCGGTAAGCTTCCAGCCAGCAACTAGGCAAAAAAAACTTTTTATGATGTTTTACCCTAGGAAATGAGATCGTAGATGGAGGGGGAGGCTAAAAGGGATGGGGAGGGACAAAGAAACTCACAGTAGGAACGCCACTGAGGTTGGCTCCTTGCCATGTCAGCAAGTGTATCCAGCCAAACGTGTTCACCGTCTTTTGGACCCCAACCAGGGAGCCGTGACGCTCCAACCGAGACTAGCTCCGAAGTGATGGACTTCATTCCTCTGGACCAAGTCATCGCTTGGCCACCTCTCCTCTTCTTCCACCCACATCCCCGGTGAGCAAACAACGCACGTCGAGGGAGTCGGTGGGCTGGCATGCGTAACACGTGGCCCAGCCATCGGAGCCTGGTGCGTGAAATAGCGGTGCTGAGCGGTTCATTTCCTTTTTCTGGGCCGTAAACAAGGCGTCAAACACGCTCGTTACTCAGGCGGTGTTCCCACCAGATGTGAGCCAAACCACGAAGGCACAGATGGTCGAACGTAGCTGGCCTCTTCAAGTCCGCCGACTTTAGGGGCCAGGTTTCGCAACCGTACAGTAAGG